TGCTGTACACTTAAAATGGACCCATGTACATTTATATATAAAAGCATTTTTCTAGAGTTACCCACTGAAATAAAGAAGCTCATGTTACTGTGAAAACCTACAGTGGCACGTTGTAATCATTACAAAAGAGCAACCTGATGTAACACAGTAGAAATATCAACACACAGGTCCTTTAGCACTTCATCATGAACAGCCATGTTTGATTGTTTTTTCTCAACACGACTGTCATTTAGCTGCATGCTTCAGTGACCATACAGATTTTTATTTATTTATTTTTTATTTTATTTTAGGATTCACTGAGTAAAAATCCTATTTCTGGTGCTGAAAACATCACACGCTTTTCAGGAAGTTATGCAACTTATGTATAAACAGTAAGTCTCAGTAATCCTCCTCCTGGACAATTTATAGTGGTACCTCTGGCTGTTAAGATGACATAATCCTCCTCAAGATGGCAGTGTGGGGAATTATCCACACACTCCAGCTCTCTACCGAAACCAGGTCAGCCGAGGATGCAGCCCACTCGTCTAACATCTTGTCTTAAGACGTGAAAATCTGTAAACCTTCCGTTCACTCATGAATAATCTAAAGGTGGGCCCCCCACGCCCACCGGATCCTCACACGGAGCTCAGGTGAAGCTAAGAGCAGTCGAGCCTTAATCAAAGTGAGTTAATAATAACCTCCCTGGTTGCTCTCGATGATTTTCTGCTCCAGCTTCATTTTCAGCTCGGACACCAGAGCAGAGCTGATGTTTCCCTCCTTGCGGCGGCTCGGTTTGGCCTTTTTGGAGCCTTTGGAGGCCAGAGCGCCGGATATCGTGGGCACCGCCCGGGGCCTCTCGCTGGGCCTGGAGGTGGACGGGGGCGGAGGTGGCAGACAGGGAGGCGGCGGCTTCGGCCGGGGGCTGCTGGGGTCCCGCTGGGCGCCGCTCTCCGGGTCGCTGATGAGGAACTTATCCGCGGGGTTGCTGAATTTGACGCCGGGCACCTTCAGGGTCCAGGACGGCTGCTGGTCCCTGGGCCGCCGCTTAATGATGCGACGCGCCGGCATGATCCTGTTGGACTTTGAGTTGCGCATGTACATAGCGGTGGAGATCAAGACCGTCACTCCTACCAACACACTAATGACAACCGTGACCATGCCTAGAGCTTTCAAAGGATTGTCCCTACTTTTCATTAAAAAGGCCGCCATAGGCCCCTTGAGGGGAGTCTGTAAAAGAGCACAAATAGAATAGTTTGAATCCAAGCCCTGAGCGCAGCGTTCGGCCAAAGCATGCAAAGCGTGAGAGATGGATGCGCAAAGCACTGACAGAGGAGGCCCAGACAACATGCCTAGCAACGCTCCCACACTCAGTCCCACTACATGCAAAGCTAAGAGCTAACGCTAGTTGTTGGGAATGCGTCTGACAGTGCAGTGCATGAGCATTAACCAGAGGGGTGAGACCCAAACAGTGGGGTGCATGAAAATGGAGATTAAGTGAGCAAATGCAAGTTTAAATCCAAAAGGAAAAGGCTCCATCTCAGTCAGTCAACCAGAGTCATGGTGTAGATAAAAAAAGGTTTTACAGTTTGTGTCAGTAAAAAGTAGGTATATGAAAACTATGCTATTAGAAAAATATTGCATTTAATATATTTATTCCAATTAAAAAATAAAACTTTTTAAAATGCATCTTCATGGACGTCCTATGAATGCGCTGCGGTACTCTTTTACAGACAGTAAACATGTTTTAAACGGAGAACACTGAAGGCGTCGCTCGTGTCTCACTTGACTCTGCGGACCACTTTGATATAGTTACTCTCGGGGTTGATTCGGGACTTTTTCACGGCGTTACAGTACAGGATGGTGGAAATGCAGATCGTGAGCAAAACCAGGGACGACACAAAGCTGAAAAAAATTCCGAAAACAGTCAGCGGACGCTTGCTGAGGCCCATGAAGTACGAAATAATTCGGCCTTTGATCTGAAAAGCACGATACACAACACAGAAACAGAACCAAAAGAAAACCACTGAGTCATCATGGAGAGTGAAATGAAGCAATGAATGAATGAATGAATGAATGAAACATGGAAAAATATGGATTCATGTAGACGACTGGAAACTTTAAAGGATAATGCTGCTGCTCATTTATGTCCTGATTTAAAATCTTACCAGAAACCAAAACCATCAACAACCACATGTGAGTCTTATAATTCATTAGCAGCTGTCTTATAATCCATTAGCAGCTGTTTTATTGCTCCACTGTGGTTCAAAAATGATCAGAAATAAGTCAGTTAAATGCTTTTGATTTGTGCTGAGAGGAAAAACAGATAATTTTTACTGCAATGAAACAATCAGTGTTAAATTTGTGTTTCATTTTAGTGATTAATAAATATTTTACTGTATAGATCAGTCATAAAAAGTCAAACCTCACTTATTAAGACTGTAAAAATATTTTTGACAACTTCCTTGGATTAAAATCTGCTAATTAACAACATCTACAAATATACATGACATCAATTTAAACCTCTTTAACCTCTTAAGACCCGGCGTGGACATCACACTTTGGGTTATATTACCACAGTAGTTAATTTTTAAAATGTTTTAAATGTTTTATTATTTTTATTATTAATTTTTATTTTCATTTTTAATTTCTAATATATTTTTTATTTTATTTTAATTTTTTAAAATATTTTTTATTTTCATTTTTAATTGAAAAAAAACATTATTTTAATTTTTTAAATTTCTATATATTTTTTTATTTTCATTTTTATTTTTTTCTTATATTTTTTTATTTTACAATTTTTAATTTTTTTAAATATATTTTTATATATATGTTTTTTATTTTCTTTATATTTATTTTTTAAATTATTTTTTCTAGAAATAAAAAAATGCATATCAAACAAGAACTCGGGTCTAAAGAGGTTAATAATCTGGATCATGGCGGCAAACTTTTAGAGAGTGAGGAATCCACCATTATTTATTATGGGATGCTGGCTGCATTAGTGGAGTTGATGCTGGACAGAAACGCCTCCACCTGAATGCTAATGCTGCTCCATGTGTACATACAGGAAGTGTTTGCTGACACTGTCGTGGTTATCAGCCACAACAAGTAAAAATGCAGCTAATGCAGCTCTAATAGCTCAGGAGCAACAACACAGACATCACTCGTTAGCAGGATAAAGTCATTGTTGGTTCTGGTCCTCTGCATAAAGAACCTCCGGCCTTATCCTTTAAAGAAGATGAGCTCAGTGAAATGTGACTGCCTGAGACCAGGATGCTGGTGTAGCAGCTGCATGCCATCAGTCCCTATCGTCTGATGATAAACTGCTTACATCTACAGCTCAGGTTAGGAAGCAGTGCGAGCAGGCGGGCGGGCGGAGCGCCACTTACCGCCTCCGTGATGTCGATGTTGACCACGGCGGTTGTGCTGAAGGACGGGAAGCCTCGGTCCCTGGCCTGGACCACCAGGGACCACTTGCAGTCCTTCTGCTTGGTGATGTTCTGCACGATCTCCATGGACTTGATGTAGGGCTTCAGCTGGATCTCCCCGGTGTTGGCGTTGATGTCAAAGGCGTTGTCGGGGTCGGCCGTCATGATGGAGTACTCGATGACGTTGTTGGGAGACTCCGCGTCATCGTCCACCGCCTGTGACGAGCAGCAAAGTTTGAACAGTCGCACATTTTAATGATTCAATGATCTGAGAATTAATATTCATAAAAACCCAACTAATATGTTGAAGACCACAGGCGGTGATTGTGAAGTATGATGGTTTATACTTCACCAGTGAGTTAACTCGCTTTCTAATTTACACAAACAAGCCCAAAGAAAGCCGAGACAAGTGTAGAAGTTAGCCAAAGCTTCAACCAGATCCTCAAATTCAAGTGTCTAAATATTTTTGCAGTTCCATAGAGCTGACTACAAAATCTCTGAAACACTTGGAATGAAAGAAAACAACAAAGAAAATCTGAAACTTAAGAGGCCAGGATCAGAGAATAGTGAGAAATGTTCCACTGTTTTTAATTAAAATAACTTTTCTGTCGCTCAACTAATCATTTCGGTTTCTAAATATGAGTAATAAATGATTTAAAAATAAGTTTTCAGGCCAGTGGAGAACTGCTGCAGTGTGACGTACCTCCACTCTGACCGCCGTGCCAATAATCATGGTCTTCTCCAGGAGTTTGTCGTCGAACTCCGGCGAGTGGTCGTTCATGTCGAGGACGGTGACGAAGACCTCGGACAGACCGTACTTCCCCTCCGAGTCCTCGGCCTTGACGTAGAAGTTGTACTTGGACCGGACCTCGGCGTCCAGGCTGGTCCAGGGCTGGGTGGAGATGAGGCCTGACATCGGGTGGATGGCGAACCTGCGGTTTACATCACAGCAGCGCATGAGTCACGCTGGCAGACGTCCGTTCTGCCTCTAACAGCGGCATCCTGATTCGCACCACAAGTGATATTTACATCACTTCATGAGTCACGCTAATAGTCGGCTATAAAAAGCAGGTCCTCAGCCTCTGTCGGAGGGAAGATGTTGTAAAAATATTCTCGTGCCTCAGATGTTCAGCCAGCTGACTGAACAATACGCGTGAAACAAAGAAGTTGTGGCAGAAACGCGGTTTAAGCGGCGCTGCTTTGTGGTGATTTCTAAAGTGATTCAAAACTTGTGAGCTCTGAGGAGTAAAATATTTCTGCAGTTTCATTTCAGATGCTTTTATCCAAAGCGACGTACATCTGAGAGCAGATACAGCACCAGCAAGGTTCTAGTCAGAAGAAAACAATCTAGATAAGAGCCATAGGACAAGTTCAAGTGTGACAGGGTGTTGATGCCAACAGCAGGCTGTAGGGAGGTGACAGGATGTGTTTTTTCGTTTGTCTATTTGTTTGTCTGTTTGTTTCCAGTCTATCAAGTGCAGAGGTGTTCAGTGAAGAGCTGCTCTTTAGTCTTTTCTTAAAGGCTGAGAGGGAGTCAGCAGGTTGGACAGAGTTTGGGAACTCGTTCCACCATCAGGGAACCACAGAGGAGGAGAGTCCAGCTATGGACCTCGGCCCTGTTGTGGTGGTTGGATATGGAGGTTTTAGTTGGTCGAGCAGAGGGAGTGTAGACCTGGATGACAGAGTTCAGGTCGGAGGGAGCGGTTCTCGTGTGAATTTGATGTGGGCAGCAGCTGGAAGCCGAGAGTAAATACTAAAATATTTCATTTTATTTACCTGGGACTGAGTAAGCATCTACCTGGACAGATTTTTTTTACCCAATTGCCACCAGATTTAAGGAGAAAATAAACAACATGAGCCTGAAAACAGTCTTTAATTAGATTTTTGTTGTTGTTGTTTTTGCCATTTTTTCCTCCAAACCATCCAGAAAAGGCAACGCTCAGACAACTCTCTTTGGAATATTTTGCAATTTTAAACTAATTTGGTTCAGATCACACAACTGTTCTTCAAATCTGCAAATCTGGATCCACTTAACGTTTCATTATTTTCTCACTTCAGAGACCTTCTGTGTAGATTTTCTGATGTTCTTGCATTAAAATCAGACGACGTGGCGGCAGCACCACGCTGATTCGCCCCCTGCAGTGTGACCGACTGCTCCACTTCTCACTGATTGTGCTACTTTTCAAATCTGAAAACACCTTCAGAGTCACTACACAGACGTTAGAGCCGCACGAATACACGGAAACAAGAGCTTTTCACATATTTGAAGGAGTCTGCAGTATTTTTTTTTTGAGTCGAGCGGCGGCGGCTCTGCCAGCTTATTTAGCCATCTTTTTTGTCTTGTTTTCCACCGCGAAAATTCACAAGTTGCCTCGAAACTGATAACTTTCGCACAATTAACTCAGGTCGCCGCCTGCAGACGAGCATAAATTCTCACTTTTCCTTCGCTGCATGCTGCCTTGCTTTTCAAAGCTGCCGTTTCTGTGGCTCCAGCTGTCACATTGCATGTTAATTGGCTCTGCCTATGTGAGACGGGCCAGGCTGTCTATTTTTAACCCTCCAATCCAATTAGGAGATTAGCCAGCATCTTGCAGCCATTTTAGATGGAGCTGTTTGTGCAGCGCAGGGGCCAATCAAACTGGTTTCCTGCTTATCGCCTCCATCAAAGACACGTCGATGAACCGAGGCTGCTGTCCTGCTGACTTAGTTTAGCCAACAGCCCCTCTGAGCACTTGGGTCACACCTTAAACAGAACTATGGTGGTTAAATATCTGATCAGAATGAACCGAAACTGGCACGAGCGAAAGGTTTTTACTCACAAATCTGATCCTGATCCATAAATCGTGTACTTGACTTCACCCCAAGGCCCTGAATCTGGATCATTTGCCTGGATGGAAATAAAAACAAAAACAGGACTGAGATTATTTCCCCAATCCATCACAGCACATACAGTCTGAAAATATACAATTAATGAAGGAATATTTTTGTATTCACCTATCTGACAAATTCAATTTCATAAGATTACATTGCGAGCGGTTTAAAAACAACTCAGCAAAGATGGCGGCACGTGGTCCAGCGAGTCTTTTTTTATTTACTAGAGCTCATTATGGATAACCAGCTAGGGTCTTAAGCTCAGATGCAGTGGGCGGAGTCTCCTACGATGTGCACTGGGATGTAAGCATAGGTCAGCGTGATTAACCTTGGAGCAAAATTAAGCTTTTTACTTCACACTGTGTACATGCAGCATGTTGACTACGAGGCGACCAATGTGCCAATACTTCTATTAATAATCCCCCTCCATGAGGAATAGCACCGAGCATATGCCAGAATGTCACATGGAGATATTAAATGTCATAACCAGGAACAGCAAAACCAAAACAAGAGAGCAGTAAGCTTGTTTTTTTTTTGACTGGGACCAACCTGCTTTCATCTAATGAACTGCACCAGAGCAATATGCCCGTATTGGGGGATTGATGGATTATATAATCACTTTGGTCGGGTTAAGGCACAGTTTAATGGTGATTGACTCACCGTAACGGACACAACGCTGGAGCCTCCAGGAGAGTTCTCAGGGACCCTGGCGATGTAGTACTCGGACGTGAAGGCGGGGATGTTGTCGTTGGTGTCCAGCAGGTTGATCACGATGTCGGCCGTGGCGCTGAATCGCTCGGGGGTGTCGATCTCCACCGCCAGCAGCTGCAAACAGACGCACGCAAAGTGGTTCAAATTACTGCCGATTGATCCGTTTGTTCATTAACAGGCACGCTCACGGTTCGGCGAGGTGTCAGAATTTGCATTTCTGAAGTTTATGGTGTCGAGTCGATGTAGGAATTTATGGGGTGAGAAGAAAGAAAAACAGTCACAAATAATTTAATGATAGCGGAAAATGCTCTGTGTTCTTCAGTTTCCTTGAATTAGGCTTAAAAATACAAATTTGTGTGTTACAAATTCAACCAATTACATTACAAATGGACAGATATTTATCACTAAATCCAGTGTTTGCACCTGAGAGTGACGAGAATGTCACTGACTTAGAAATTAACTGGTTATACAACAAAATACTGAACAAACCGAACGTTCTCTGGCTGATATCGAAAGATTTAAAGTGAAGAAATCACCCAAAAAGTATAAACATGTCTGAACCAGGGGCTGCAAGGAGGCTCGGTGGTTAGCACCGTCGCCTTGCAGCGAGAAGGTCGCCGGTTTGCATCTCGGTGAGGACACCCGGGATCTTTCTGTGGAGATTTTGCATGTTCTCTCCGGGTTCTCCGGCTTCCTCCCACAGTCCACAAACATGTTGAGGTTAATTGGTGATTCTAAATTGTCTGTGAATGTGAGTGTGTCTCTAAGTGTAGCCCTGCGACCCGTCCAGGGTGTCGGCTGGGATAGACTCCAGCCCCCTGTGACCCGAGTGAGGATTGAGTATAGATGATGGATGTCTTCATCAGATCCATCCAAAAGGTGTATACCAGCATCATCACTTCCAGCAGCTCATATGAAGTCTGACCTTAAAAGAGAGGGTCGGCCCCTTCTCGTAGTCGATTCCAGTTGTGTCTTCCACAATGATGGTCACCTGCGCTTCATTCAGAACCGTCTGCGGAACCACCCGGAGCACTCGGCTCGGCCCCACCAGCCTCAGTTTGAATTTAGCGTTTGCACCCTAAAAAAAAACAGCAGCAGAATCCACCGATCACACAAAGTAAATACGGGTAAAGCTGCCTGACGTGGAAGGTTGAGAAGACTTAAAATGACTTAAAACTCTGGCAGGTGATGCGTCATCGAGGCAGGACGGAGAGAATAAACATGATGCCACGATGAGTAACGTCTCTACCTTGTGTTACTGAACAGATCTGCTGGACATATTTAAACAGCGCTGCGTAGCTGCTTGTACTTTCAGATATTTATGCAACGCCACACCCCGAGGCATTAATCGAACTGTCAGCAGAGGAACAAACTCAAAGTGAAAAACAATCACACATTTCTCCAAAAACACTAGATTCTGACACCATCACTAACAAGTAACACCAATCTTCTGCACTCTGCTCCAAACCCTGAGGGATGGCTCCAAGGATCGGTGAGATGATCGACATCAGGGAAACAAACGTACCTGATCAGAGTCATTGACGGTGATCTTGAAGCCTCGGAGGATCTCCCCGGCGGGCGGATGCTCGTACATGGTGACCTCAAACTTGCTCTGGGGTCCGTTCTCTCCATAAAAAGTCGGAGGATGGTTGTTGAGATCCACCACCCGGACCGTCACCGTGGTAACATCGTAGTCCAGCAGCTCGTTGTTCGGTCCCACCTCGGACGCCTGGTTTTAACAGTTACATTCATTAACACCTTTTCTTGGCGACTAAAGGAAATGAAGCGAGTTCAAAGAGGAACATTACCATGACTTTAATTTCATAGAGTTCATTCCTCAGCAGTGAGGGGTAGGTTGTCAGCGTGATGCATCCACTGGTGCTATTTATGTCAAAGACACCATCACTCCCTGAAAAGCGATGACAGAGTGTTCGTGGATGTGTTGGCACCGTGATCTCGAAAACAGTCCTAACCAGACTACATGAGGTCATGCACCTTCTTTGTTCTTACCGTTCATAATGGAGTAATGTATGGGGTTGGGACTGCCTTGGTCACCATCTTTAGCGTACACTGTGAATATTTCAGATCCCTGGAAGAAATAAAAAGTAGATTTATGGTGCATTAAAGAAAAGCAATAATCAACTCCACTGCTGAAAACCAGGCAAAAACTTACTGGAACTGAGACTTCGTAGACGTAGCCGAAATACGGGGTTCCTACAAAGGATGGAGGCATGTCCTGGGCGTCCATAACGTTGATGGTTATGGTAGCCGTGGAGGTCATGACCTGATGCTTCCCCTTGTACTTCCCACCTCCATCCTGAGAGAACAAACAGGGAGGCAGAAGACAGAGTTTATAGAGTAGAATTAGCTCTGACTGAAGTTATCCCTCTTAACAATTAATATCGGCCATAACAAGTTGTTTTTTTAATTCCTTAATAATTTTCTGCTTTAATGGAAAAGTATTTTTCCCCTTTTTTTAAACATCTAAATGTAAAGAACAATGACTCACTGCTCAGATTTAAGGTTTTTAAGTGGCTAAGAGTTGCCACATGTCTCTCTTGAAATGGTTAAATGAGTTTGGTTTTGTTGAAAACAGTACCACAAAATAAAACTAATTAAATATGGGCTGCACATATTTTAATCAATTACAAAATGACGTGGCTCAGTACCAAGTTTAAATATTCGTCTATAACATTAGGAGGAGTGGAAGCTGTAATTTTAGAGAGAGAGAGGATTTTATCATAGATTCTCATTAACTGATGTGTTATTTACCATCATTAAAGAATCATGCATGAACAGGACTGAGGCCGAGCAAAACAAACTCTCCATCAGCCACCTACTCACAGCGACAGGACGACACTCACTTTGGGAGCAACACTTTCCCAGATTTTATTTAGAAGACCGCCAAAATAAACTTGTCAAAAGCAACGCTGTCTGTGAAAGACCGCTAGAGTTACTGATAAACTCCTGTCGTTTTTAGATTTTATAGAATTCCTCTCCTTAGATTTGAGTGTAATTTTGGTCTAGTGTCTGTGTTCACTCCAATGATGCAGTGTTGAAGCTGCTCAAAGCATTCGTGTGTGTTTCGAGCAACGTGGGAATAACGAGACAACCCCAAAGACAAAGGGGCGACAGGGCGGAGTTTCACCTTTGCAACTACGGTCACAAAATGTGTGGGTGTTGTTTCGTAGTCCAGCGTCTCTCCGGGCTTCACTCTGAGGATGCCGCTGTGTCCGTCGATGGTGAACTTGGGAAGCGGGGAGCTCTGATAACACAATAAGCCACAGTTAGCATCCAACGCTAGCAACAGCAGTGTTTTATGTTTCACCTGAATTCAGCAATCGAGCTAATTTCAAACGTGTTTCCAGTATCAGCATTAACCCTCAACCCGGCCCATTTTAGAACAGTCTTATCTCACAGTCGACACATGAGCATCAACAGCTCCTGTGCTGTCAGCTGTTGGCCCGGACCAAACCTAAGCCCCTATTAAGCCCTCAATGCCTTGCTCAAATGTAATTGAAATTTAATCCACTAAAGTAACACCATTTCCAGACTGCTCTCTGGTATGAGATTAATCTTTCCCTCCACACACTGCTCCATTACTCGAATGCTCTGTTGCTGCCTCCACATGGCAGCCCGACCTCTGCTCCCACCCCTGGGTGTTCGGGCCAGACTCGACCGGCTAACAGGGTCACTGTGTGGAAAATGTGGTGCAATCTTGTATTAAATAGGGGCTGTAATTTAAAAAGAAATGTGAAAAGAAATGCTTGTTTCAGCTTTGAAATTAGGGACATGAGAGCATAAAGTTCGTGGCAGACTTGAGATGTCTGAAGATGCATCTAAGCTCTGAATTCAACTTAAAGCTGTGCAAAGAGGCTAAAAAAGCTTGAACCATTTTAGCCTAGCTTACATTAAGGTCAGCTTTCTATGCACGTGTTGCTGCAGAAGCCGAGCTGCTACAGACAAACTAAAAGTATGAATGTTTCATGAAGTATTGGGTTTTTGGTGCATTATGAATGTAAATTGGATCCTCGTTTCACCACATCGTCAGAAAGTAACTCCGAAATAAACAACAAAATTCAAGCCTTCAGCGTGTTCCTGAAATCCAGCAGCACCCTTGGGCAGCCCCTATTTTTAATTTCTGATTTTCAGTTTCTCCAAGAAAGCGGTTTTAAAGTCGTCAGGGTCACAGCTGTGCATCGTCTGCATAACAATGAAGCTGCAGCGTTACCTGCAGATAGTATGAAACGCTGCCTCCTGAGCCCATGTCTTTGTCCACGGCTTGGACTCTGTAGATGCTGCTTCCTGGAGCCGTGTCCTGGTAGAAAGACACAGGATTCAACAGCGATAAAGCATGCTTTCATCTCAACTATTATCATTTATTTGGCTCATTTGTGGCACAGCAAGACCTCTATAAATGACGTTCTGTGTGTTTCTTTGCTGTGTTGTACCTCTGGAATATCAATGATGAAAGGCAGGTTTTGAAATTCGGGCGGCTCGTCATTGGCGTCGGTGATGAACACTCTCACCGTCTCGACAACCTCAAAGAGACAAGAAAACAGATTCTCAACTGCAAGTAACACTAAAAAAAACATGAATTTATTTCAAAAGTACATCCTGTTCCAGAAAGTTAACAACATGGTCAGAAAAAAAAATACTGCATATATTTAAATGCATTAGACTTGAAGCACGGTGACGGGTTGTTGCCACAGCAGCTCTTCAGTCGATATAATAACTGTTTTCACATATCGGTTTGGCTTTCTCTTACTATTTTTGTTTTATTTCACAATTAGACTGCAGTGTTGTAACATGACTGATGATTAATGCAGTGGATTAATCAGTATAAACACATAGTCAGTAATAACTTACTTTATTGCGTCCGTCCGTGATGCTGACGAGCACTGAGATTTCATCTTGTTTCTATAAAAAGAAGATTGTCACTGTGAGAGAAAGCGTTGGGTTTGTTTTTTTGCTGTTTGTTTTTATAACCAGACTCTCTCACCTCTCTGTCCAGCTCCTGGATCAGAGTCACGTTCCCTGACTTGGGATCCACCCTAAAATATTCTACGGAGCCCTTTTCAAAAGCCAGACCGTACCGCACCGGGTCCCCCTCTGGATCGGTGCCGTTCAGGATGTATATCTGCGTTCCTTTGAGAAAACAAGAGGCGCACAGAGAAACCGTGACATTTCTGTATTCATGAGAGAGCCTTTTGTCTCGTCTGGTTCTGTATTCGGCGTAAACGGCCCGTTTGGCAGCCGGGTCAGACGAGCCACCACCCATATTGTTTTCTTCCCGTAAGTCTTGATGTACGTCACAATCCAAAAGGTATTACAGTGATTAGCTGGAGCCTCAACGCCAGGCGTCATCTTTTCAACACACATGGCCGCATAAATATGACTATAAATGTAATTTCACTCTGAAATCCTCCCAAAGCGATCACTGGTAAAGTCAACATTCATTTACATGTGAGACTTACCGATGGGTGTGTCCTCAGAAATGCTGAACAAGGCCATGTTCCCGTTTGTGCTGCTGGGACCATTGTCATAAAAATACGGAGCATAGTCTGATTGCCCTGAATGATAAAACACACAAAGAAGTTATTAGAGCAGAAGAGAAGTCACAAAATAATGAGCTAACCTCTCAGAAATCTGCTCCATGTTGGGAATAAACCTTAAAAACATCTCATAAACCATGTGGACTTGTGTATGTGTTGGTCTATTTATTGAGAACTGTTGCACTCACTTGCTGTGAAGGGCAGGAGTCGACAGCAAGAAAAAGCAAAGGAGGTGAGTTATACATTTCCACTGAGTTAAAGTCCTACCATTAAAAATACACACTGAAACATAACAAACACTGAATGTAACGTTGCAGAAGCAGCATGAGCAGTCCACACACACTCAGATGCCCTCTGCGCGTTAGAGGATTAACCAGATCAGAGCGACAAGTCTTAACCACACACACAAAGACGACAAAAGAAAAACAAAGCTTACCCAAGGTGAAGTGAAGCAGGAGGAGGAAGAGCAAAGCATGCGTTTTCTTTTCTTTCTTCATCCTGGTGCGGAGCTAAGGCTTGGCTGGCTCATGTGGAAGGCTTGGCGGGAAAAGGGGGAAGAGCGAGCGAGCAGTCGAGTGTCGTGCCCTTCCTCGGAGGCGTCTCAGCGAGCTCAGGAGGAAGGAGGCTGGGACAGATTCTCAGGCACTAATCCAGTGACGCATCCCTTCCCTCCGCAGACATCTTCTCGCCACGCTGCTCCTCGCTCCGACTCCTCCTGAAGAGCTACACGTGGAGGGACGAGGAGAGTTTCAGGGATTCACACAATATGGTGCGATCATCACACCTCGGCACCACATGTGACAATTTACACAGGAGGCACTGCATCCACGACTGCTGTGAAATCCGACACTTAAAATAAAAGCGCTCGGCGATGCTCTCGGTATTAAATGCTGGGAAGACGTTTGTGATCGTCAAGCCGCACGTTTGTTTGTCTGCGTTCATTTGTTGGGACACCTGGCACATTTGGCTGCTGCTCCAAAAGGCCTCCAACCAAGTCATTAGTCACATGGAGGGAGACCCAGTGGCCTAAGCTCGCCTTGGACGCCCTCCTTGGCAGCTCGCTGACCGACAGCAAGCCTGAGCTGAACTTGTAGATCTCTGATGCACTTATGGCCAAGAGGCTTTCTTTGGTCTTTGCAGTTTACTTTCCCCCCCACAGGACATCTAGTGACCTGTCAATCACTACGCCTCAAGGCTCACGTTCCTACAGTTAACATCACCAGCCGTCTGATTTAACACTTGGGAGCCCTAATTTGCATTTTTATTTCATCCTACGTGATGCTACAGATGAAATTGTAAGACATCCTCCTGGTATGAATCAGCTGAAGCGGGTCAAAGCCAAAAACACATACACAGGACTCAGTCTGAGACAGGTGCAGCCCCAAAAAAATAAAAAATAAACAGCTGGTGTGATAAAAAGGAAATAAAATGTGACACTCACACCAGAGCAGAGTGTGACGTTCTCATCCCGCAACCTTGACGACAGGCCAGAGTCAGAAACGTCATACTTTTTTTATTTTTTAACATAATTCTCACTTTGGCGGAGGTAGTTTAGCACCTTGTTAAAGGGAAAAAAAAAGTCACGTGTGATGTGAGATCAACTGTAATGCCAGTGACGTGTGCTAACCGTGTTCACCTATTCAATGGGAGGTGTAGAGTGTGTGCTTCCTGTAATTGCAGATGTAAAAATAGACCTCGACACATTTAGAGCAGACGATTATATACGAAGGGAAGAACTACGGGAACAAGAAGCTGCTTGTTGTCAAGAAGATATCAGAAGAGCAGCAATATCAGAAAAATGTACCAATCTATCATATAAGCACAAACTAGGTCCATTTTAGAGTGTTGTAAAATATATTCTACTAAAGCTTATGAGCAATATTAGAGCTTGAAATGGAGCTAATTACTACTGAGTGCTTTGTTTATGATGCTGATCACTGAAGTTTTTTTCTGCATCTGCAAACATTAGCTGTCACATAAATGTGACGTAAAAAGCACAAATTCCTGCCTACCTTTTTTTATTACTATTATTATTATTTTGCATTAAGTAAATATAGAACTATGTAGAAATTAAGAAAAGTGCCTCTTAAATTATAGTTTTACAACGCTGACATACATCTGGAGAGCACGCAGCGATCATACTCCATGAAGCTACCGAGTTTGGTGTAACTTGTATGATTCTAAATCAGGAGAATGATAAACTCGCTTAAGCAACTTCAGCTGATTATTAAAGTTACTGAGAGACGTATTCAAACTAAATGCGTAGATAATTAGTCAAACTGAACCATGTGCATAGTTCACTGTGTCAGACGTTAACTGTTCAAACTTCTCAGCAATCAGACACTCAAACATTTCACCTGACGCCACCAACAACAAGAAAATAAAATCCATCCACAGTATTTAAACTGCATAACTTAAAGTTCAAATTGTGCAATAACACGTGTGTGTCATCCATCACTTGTCAAATACAGACGCAAGCAGGCTGAATATATTATTTCTATATAGATATCCAGACATTTATTAGACACAAACAACTTGTAAGGTAATTTCTCGCATCACAAATTCAATGATTTCTGTGATAATTTACACACGTGGACAAAATAGTTGGAACCCCTCAGTTAATGAAAGAAAAACAAACAACGGTCACAGAAATAACTTGAATCTGACAAAAGTAATAATAAATAAAAATTCTATGAAAATTAACCAATGAAAATCAGACATTGCTTTTGAAGGTTCAACAGAATTATTTAAAAAATTTAAACTCATGAAACAGGCCTGGAGTAAAATGATGGTCCCCCTAGAAAAGACTGAAAATAATGTGACCATAGGGACATGTTCAATCAAGGTGTGTCCTCTAATGAGCATCACAGGTGTCTACAGGCGTGTAATCAGTCAGTCGGCCTATTTATAGGGTTACAAGTCGTCACTGTGCTGTTTGGTGACGTGGTGTGGACCACACTGAACATGGACCAGAGGAAGCCGAGGAGAGAGTTGTCTCAGGAGATTAGAAAGAAAATGATAGAGCAGCATGTTAAAGGTAAAGCCTACAGTACTTCCTTGCACTCGTCAACATGTCTCATCATTTGTTTTTACCTCCAAACTTGTTCGTGTGAGATATTCCCTGTTGTTAAACATACACTATATATATAAATATACTGCATTATGTATTCCTATTTTACACCCTACTGCTTGAATATAAGTGTTTAGATTTTACTTATCTTTTTACTACATGTTTGATCTTATTTTTAATCCACTCTCATACAAATAATAGTCATGTGTTTGCCAATATAGCTGATAACCATAAAGAAAGCAAAAATAATAAACGCAAAAGACATCTTTTCTAATACAAATAATGTGTTTCTAAACAAATCTCTGACTTTCTGTTTACACAGATTTGAAGGTACTGTGGGCTGCAGTGGTAGAGCTCCAACAGAACCGCCTATTTTAAGCAGTAAAACCCTGGACCGTCACCAGCTATTGGTCATCAATCTGAAAATGACTGACAGAGGGCAACTTTTATCCCCCGTAATGGCAGATCTCGGCACGCTGAAGCTTTCGCCAACCTCATCCATTATTGCCCTCTTTATCCCTCCCATCTGCAGCACTTTTCGACACACAGCATATATGGATCATACGTGCCCCACGCGTGAACATGATCTAAGAGATTTAAAGCAGCGGCCGGCAGCTGCGCGCTCCACGTGTCCGTGCTCTAATGAAACACCTGCATATTTACAGATGTTAGCATCTGTTGCAAGTGCCCTGGTTTGAAGGTTTAATTTTAGAGGAGCGGCCAGATGGTGGACAAGAGGATTACTACGCTAAGCCTTTGTCATCTGCTGCTACACACTGACTGTTTATAGGGAAATACAAGGTGGACCCCCGCCGGTCCCTCAGCCTGCTCCCAACTGCTGACAAAATGCTCAAGTTTAGGAGTTCAGCAGCAGCAGCAGCAGTGTTTAAGACTCACAGCTATGAATGTGAGGAACCACTGTGGCTGTTTGAGTGTTTCGCAGGTCACAGGTGTTTTATTCATTCAACAGTTACCTGAAAGTTGATTATTTTTTTTAACAAGAAGACATTTTTAACTAACTGAACAGATGTAATTATGGTTGGAGGAATAGCCTGTGTGCCCGTGTGTTATTAGAAAAACATTTAAACAACATTTTTAGTTTAACTGTAGAAAACTCTTTTGGGACTCCTCAGTGTTCATCAGACAGCTTTGATAATAAACAGGCCATGATATGAATGATAGAAGGTTTTAACTGCACTGACCACAAAACCAAAACAGTATCCATCCATTATTTCTACACCTTAATCCTCACTAAGGGGGCTGGAGCCTATCCCAGCTGACTCAGGGTGAAGGCAGGTTCACCTGGACAGGTAACCAGTCTATCACAGGGCTACACTTAGAGACAGACAACCAAGCACACTCACATTCACACCTACGGACAATTTACAATCACCAATTAACCTCAGCATGTTTCTGGACTGTGGGAGGAAGCCGGAGAACCCGGAGAGAACCCACGCTGCACGGGGAGAACATGAAGACGCCACGCAGAAAGATAGCTAATTTTTAAGAAAAAAAATCTTAGAAAATGTTCTATTTCCTTTTTTTGTGAGTGTGTTTTTACAAGCCTTACCGGCCACAGGAGGTACGTTCAGCTTGTTCAGGTGTAACTAAGAATATTAACATTTCCTTCAACTCGTGTCCCGGTGACTCAGCTCGCACAACGACGGGACTCTGAAACTAAAGCACGCAAACAGGATTCACCTGCAAGTGTTTTACCTACACATGTGCTTTTCCCAGGAGTCCTGTTAATCCCGATGCTTCATTCTGCGATCACTGTTTAAAAAGGCAAAACTCACAACAGTCACTCAAATAACTAGAAACTGGAAAAAGTAATAATGAATAAAAATTTGCTAAATTATAATTTAGTGAAATGAGACGTTGCTTTTGAGTTGTGGTTGAAAAGAATAATTTTAAAAAACAAACAAAACCGTCCCAGAGAAATGAGAGGCCTTTGCTGATGAGCAGTGGTCCAGAATACCTGTCAACAGGTGCACAAGTCTGACTGAGTTACAGGAAACACCTGATGGCAGTGATTGGATCAGAGGGTTGTTCAGCTACATGTTAGTTCACGAGTCCCATCATGCTTGTTTTTTATTTCTGTTGAACCACAATTCAAAAGCAACGTCATGATGTTCATTACAATTTTATTTATTATTACTTTAGTCAGTTTCATCTTATTTCAGCTGTTTTGTTTTCCTTCTCTAATGAGAGGCTATGAACACATCTGAGGACGACTGCAGGTTACAAAAACTTTACACACCAACCTCACAAACTCATCACTTCTGACGTGTTTATTCGTTGATCCCGTTGTTGAAATTACTGCATTTTTCTCAGAAACATACGACCGTCTTAAACTTCTAACAGAAGTGCAGCATGAGTGAAATCTGGAGCGAAGAACATAGAGCATAGTCATTTATTGTGCTGTGAATGTGGAGCAGCTCGTAGTTGACATTGGTGGGATTTCTGTCATTTTCTCATTTCTTTTTTTTCTTGGAACTTTCATTGGTGAAAACAGAAACACCAGAAATAAATAGAAAACACAAAGAACAATACAAAGGACATGTGAGGCAGGCAAACATAATATCGACAGACAGGTTTAACTCATCTGTGACCCCGCAGGATTATTCAGATCAGAATCAACGTCAGAGCCTCTTCTCAGCGTGTCACCAACGTACAATTTGCTTTCCTGATTTGGACTGGCAACATTCCTCTTCGCACATCTGCAAAGCCTTGATGTTGAGCTACCAGTTACAAAAGCTTTGTCTCTAAACGATAACACCTGGTTGTATGCTGCTAGTAATAAAACGGCTTTGTTCAGCTCTGGGGAACATGAAGCCGAAGCCGGAGTCAGAACGCAGGCGTTTACTTCCTTCTGCCGCCGCCGCCGCCGCTCAGAATCATCACCAGCCTCATGAAGATGTTCAGCGTGTCCATGTAGATGCCCATACACCTGCAAGATCGTAGCTATACGTTATATACTGCAGTACATGTGATGAGATCCACAGACTGGTACGTGACCATGACAGTGCACTGCCATGCTTCCTGGGCTGACTTACGCGTTGATGGGGTCGTATTTCTGGACGCCGTACAGCGGGTGTGTCTCTGCTCTCTTGATGACCTTCTGTGTATCATAGAGGAGGAACATGCTGAACAGAACCAGACCTCCGTAGATGGCCACAGAGTACAGGCCCGCTCCGAACGCCGAGGTGGGCGGCAGGAACATCGATCCTAAAGGAGACAGAACATCGACTAAGCTGTGAAGTTGTGGATTCAAAGCAGCAGCACATCCACTGGCTGATTTATAAGATGTATAAATGAACCGACCTGTGGCTTCTCTAAAAACAAACTGAGGCCTTCAGCTGTTTGGCATAGTGCTTCATTTATGTAGAGAAACATGAAGATTTGAACCACAGGATTATGATCTGTGTTGTGTTGAGAAACTGTGCAACCACAGAACCGCTACTTGGTCACGACTGCTCACCCAAATATAAGATTATTTTTAATAGAACAGACGAGAGGACGTCCACATGAGTAGAAACTCAACTACAGTATTGAGATCATCATATGCGACCCATCGCATTGCACCCTGGGCTATTATGCGTAAACACATGACCACATGACGCAAATCACGGGACAGGATTGGCTGGCAGTGACACGTTGCTCACGAGTGCACAAGCGATTTCTGCAGCTTCTTTCTGGTGTCACCGCTCATGAACGCCGACGGTGTTCGACAGCGATATGGATAGAATATCGTCTGCTACCTACATGTAGAGAACAACTAAATGGGCCGATCTAAGTAATAAAGCCAATGTGTTAATTCAGGCTGTATCTGGGACATAGATGGGTCACATACAGCAAATTAAAGTTTGGGAAGAAATTCAAAGTGTTTGACAAACAGATTTAGGGTTGAGGAAGTCAAACGTCTCATTATATTTAAGTAGATGGCTATCCTGTACAAGTTAATCTGAATATGAGGCGTAATCATAATAAACACGAGGCTTCATACAACCTGACGTCTGTAAATAGCTGCAGAACATGCAAATGAATTCCTGCACAATGCAGACATTATGTTATTATGTGATGACACGGAAACTCATTTGCATAAGTCAATTCATCTTTTTGTGTGAAAACAAACACTCGGAGTGTGATTTACTCATGAGATTTGTTCCTTTAAGCCATTAATAGGACGTCACGTTTCTCTGCAGGGACACGATCACAGTAAAATCAGCCAACACCTGGCATGTCATTAATCGCTAGTCTCTAATTAAGGATTCAATGAAATAACCTATAATGTACACATCATGTCGTTTGACTAAGATGTTCTCACTTTTATCTTTCAAATGTCATACAATGCAAACAACAGACACTCTGTAATGTGGATGGAGGACTACCGTTTGCATGCACTCAATAATAAATCCATGAACAGAGCTGGCTATAAACATCAGCTAGTGCTCAGAAGCAGCTTTCTCCTTTATTCATTTTAATGAGTCGACTGACTGCGATACAAATTTGTAGAGAATGAGTAGCACCCACTAGCTTGTAGTGTTCACTGCTACCTGCTGTGCGACTAAGACAGAAATGGTATTCTACTAACCAATAGAAGAGGCGAACACCACTCCGAAGCCGACAGCCAACGGCCCGCCCATGTTGAGGAACTTCTCACTGGGGGCGCACATGGCCACAGTGGACAGACCTCCCACGATGCCCGCTGTGTACCAGGCTGCCCGCATCATCAGAGGCCCCCCCAGGAGAGTAAGGGGAGCGATGACAGCACCCATCACACCTGATCAACAAATCAAGCAAAAAGACAAATGAATATTCAAAATAAACATAAACAAAAAAAGAGTGCCATACATCTAAACGGTACCGTAGGGATACTGCGGGATTAAAAGACAACAGCAGGTGTCCTCCCTGAGCCTTTACTTGACTGCCCTCTCGTGTTCAATCGAAGCAATTACATTGCAGAAATAACGCTGAGAGCGGCACATAAGAGAAAAATGCGTTTCAACAACACAAACCTGCATGGAGCATCCAGGCCAGGTGTTTGGGGACTGGGCTGTGCTCATATGACACCGATCGGACCAGCATGCCGGCACCAATCATAGCTGCAAAAGTAGCTCCGATGGCCTGGGTTAGAACAAAAATAAACATTCATATAAATGAATCTGCCTGAAAATGATGATTTTAATTAAAAGTAAATGTTGCAGTGCAGTAAAGTCATTTAAAAAAAATTTATAAAAAACTGTCGCTCTTGGACCCATATGAGCTGCAAATCTCACCAGCCAGGATCCTCTCATCATCAGACCCATCAGCGCTGGGGTTCTGCTCACAGCCACAGCTGACAGAGCCGTCAGTCCAATGCTGCCTGCAAAGTACATGTAGGTGGAGTGGATCCTGTCCTTCACATACTGAGGCCAAAACCTGCACAGAGAGGGACCTGAGTATGACACTTATTACTGATCTGACTTTGAAGTAAAATAAAGAGCTGCAAGTTCAAAAAGCTGTTACATTGATTTCTCGATGGCGCCGACTTCATTGGACATGCCGAGTCCATAGTAGCACAGAGCTCCGAGGCCGATTGCTGCACCTCCGGCCAGAACCATCCTCCCCATGCTGTCAACTAGGGACAGAAAAAAAAAAACTCATTTTAGGCACATTTTTATTATCTTTTGTTTTCCATTGCACCATATCATTAATCTAATTTCTTGTAAAACACTTAAAGTCAACAGTGACTCTAATGACAAACATCACTTAGTTTACCATCACTAAATCCTGCAAACCATGTGAGCTCATTTATTTTTGTAAATCTACTGTCTGTCTAACAGGATGGACAGCATAAAACATACAGAATATGTAACAACTATAAATTAGTAATTTGAAGCACAGCATTTACTTTTGATGACCGTGTCCGTTGCTGGCTCAAAAGCTGCTTCTTTGAGCTGGTCTTTGGTCGTCTTCGCACGACGGAAACCAAATCTGGGCCTTGAGGAAAAACCCTGGTAAGAGAAGAAAACATCTTTACACTGAACAGTAAAATGCTGATTAAGAGCCAAGATGTCACACCCAGAGTTACCAAACAAAACAAACAAACCCAAACAAACCAGACCTTATATTTAGCCAGTGTTCACTGTCAAATTTACACACTGAAAAGTGAGTTTTAATCATTTTACATTTCAAGTCAGCAGCCATTTTCTGAGAAATTTGTAAACACAGGAAGTCAGATGCGATAAACAGACACATTACTAGTAACTAATTATGTGACTCATCAGTTACTAGCTAGTTTTTAGCCTTTAACCATGTTAACTGGTGCCAAAAATCTGTCATTAAAATACTGAGATAAACCACACTGAGCATCAGGTTAGGTTCTTTCATCCAGCCCATCTGAGTCATCAAACAATACCCTGCTTACACAATGACCTGGAAAGGAGGTATTTAGTTCGTTTCTAATCCGATTGAAGCCACTGATTCGCATCTTTATCCACCCTTCTTGCCCGAAAGATGCCGCATGATACCAAAAACAAATAAAATTACAATCAAATATATTTAGAACAGTATAAGCAACCTCAGTACCTTGGTACAAGTGGTAAAATAACTGCAGTTTCATGTGGGTGATACTGGTTTGTCATTAAAAAAAAATTTATGCAGCAATCAGAAAGCATTGAGAAATGTCAGAGAGACACATATGCCAGTCTGGAGGTGAAGCTGAAGGTACCTGCTGGGGCCTGAACAGGGGTGGACAGGCCTTCAGGGTGGGAGCTCTCAGGGCTGGAGAGCTCTGTGTCAGCACCGGACGGAGTCCGGCGAGAGGGAGAGTCCTCAGACATGCCAGCCTCGCCACCAACATGATGACAGTATTTTCTTATCCTTTACCAATCTGAAGGGAAAAAAACAGAACGTAAGGAACAGTAACAGACAGCTCGTGACATAATGTTTATACGTCACACAGCTAAGCGTTCATCTGTTATTCCTAATGAAGGTCCATTAGCTAATGCGAGTCACAAACACAGTTGCTGAACAAAGTCGTTGTAGAGTAGGAATTCAACTGGCCATTTGGTTGAAAAATAAAATAAAACAAACGTTGCTGTAACATTTCACGTTACTTAACTGGGCTAGCTAACTTTGAGTAGCACGTTATAGCTGCGTCAAGACCAGACTGGTTGACTTAGCAGCTAGCTAGCTAAATGCTTCGTCCTTCTGGTGCAATGGTTTGATCAAAGAAATTGATTCTGAACATTAATACTAAGTTTTAGCACTTAAATACTGCAGTTAAGATGTGAACCAGTCAGTAAACATTACATACCGAGACGGACGTTCGTCGTTCACCTTTCCAGAAACAAGTGCGCAACTTTCTGACGCAATTGTTTTGCAACCTTCCTGAAAATTCTCCGCTGGTACGTCATCAGCGAGCGACAGGTTTGATGGGAACTGTAGTTCTAAGTCGGCGAGCGTAAGGTTCGTTCGAAATAAGCGAAGTTTATCAGTCAAAGAGGCTGAAAACAGTCAGATTACACATCATAAACGGCATATAATATATAGTTCTAATCTACTGCATAGCAACACGAGGACAATTTAACTCTTTATCGATTTAGCGACTCCAAAACTTCCGGTAAGGGGTATGAGGACTGTTAAAATAACATCTGTACAGATATTTCAGCCTTGACAGTCTGCAGTTGTGACGGGTGAATAATAAAACCCATATTCCTGTAATTCTTTGTTCTGTATTTAACTATTTATGAGTGTTTTCAGTTTATTTATGTAGTTTAAGAGGTTTAATCACCGGATATATGAAGCTACAGTGTCAAACTGGTCTGATCCTGATTTACATGAGAATTCATGACAGCCTGCCCTGTTATAGTTAAAATGATCGGAGAAAGCTCTTATTAAGGCCGTAACTTCGCCGGATACACCAACCCGTTAAAGTGCCGGGATCCAGATCACTTTTACCCCCCCCAACAGTGGCGAAGAGAGCCACGGTACGCATGTCATATTTGTCATTCACCTGAGATTACGCAATACATCAGCTCACCTGTGTGATGTGAAGAAAAGTTCACAGTGTGACCTGCTGTTAGATCCTCACCAATCCACGCTCCATGTCAGGGATAAGATGAAATTATAACCAATGAATGAAGCTACTGCTGCTGGCCCGTGCGTAAATGCGCACAACTCTCTGGATCCTGATAGTGCAGGTATTTAATAAACTCTGCCGGAAGCAACAAACTAAACTGGTTTCTTGTGTGTGTGGCAGCTCATCTGTCTGATGAGAAGAAAAGTACACAGTGTGACATGTCTTTGGCGTTCATAATAACCAGTATTACACTCTCTCTTGCTTTGGAGACGCACGTATCCTGCTGCTTTCTGACACTGCAGATATTTATGAAACTTTGGGGGAAAATTCCTTCACGCAACTTCAGCTCCTGTTAAAGTCTTGTGGTGGGAAAAACAGATGAGTTCATTCGTTATTGGTGAGTCCGGTGAATCTAAGCGGTCACTAAAGTGTTGTTTCTATGAACATGACAGAATAGATTTTAAATGGGATGGTAAAGTGGGTGGGAGAAAGGTGTGCTGTGATTTTAGCGCACAAAAGGTGTCTTGAGCTCTCTGTGATGTTTTTTTTAGACAACTATGGGTGTTGAAACGTGGAAAAGGCCTTTCATAAAGTACTGGGGTCCAAACGTAAATAGAAATACAAAACACATAATACAATGCTATGGGACAACACTCCTGTAAATCTTGTTTTATTTAAGTAAAAGCACTTGTAAGTGTTTGATCAGCAAACTATTGAGATTAAGTTAGATAACATGATGGAGAAGGAGGCCTGGCAGTGTTGGGTCATTATTTTACTACTACTGGGTCTACTTCTACTACTACTAATAAAAAACTTTATTTCTATTGTGCTTTTCAGAACTCTGCCTCACATGAAACACCATTAAAAAGCAACAATAACACTTTAAAATATGACAATAAAACCTTAGAAAGAGAAACATTTACACCACTAGGATAGACATACAATTACTAAAGGTGTGTGGGTTTCTTTTAAACTTAGTAAAACACTAAATAGGTACGACTCATGTGTTTATGTAGAAAAAGGTGCAATGAATTCCAACAACTTCACATACTGTTAGGTGTTCAAAAGTACTTTTAAAAGGGTGTGATGTTAACATAAAATCCTGATCTTAAAAGCTCCTCTAAGATGCCAAATACATGCAGCGGTACAATATGTCCATATGTTGGGATGTAATGGAGTAAAAGTATCACAAAACTGTGCAATATTTCCAACAAATATCACATCATAATTGCATAAACGCTACATGTGTTTTGTAATAATATATTTTTTTAATTTGCCATGTCCATAGATAAACTGCATGTTGCGCTTTTGCCCACTAGGGGGAGTGCTCGCCCTTTTGTTGCGCCTCCATCAGAAACTATCAAAACTTTAAACTGGCCTAAAACAACAAAATCTAACAATAAAATGGACCTGCACACCTACATACATAACCTAACAGTGTTTATCTTGTGGTGTCTATGTGTGAAGTCAGTTTTATCTGTCACCGGCGGATCAGCGGCTCTGCGGGGTCCTGCTGGTGTCAGTGCGCCTCCTGGCTGACGCTCCGCTCCTCTGGTCCAAACTTTCCCGTTTCTCCTTCACTGAGTCGCAACTGTTGCACAGATTAGTCATTCAGCTCACCGGGCAGCCTGACCCGCAGTCTCTCCTCTCCTCAATCATGACTCCATCTGATCTACAGGTTTCTCTCAGTGACTCTGCTTCTTCTGGATTGGATTGTTTTCTGTCGCACATGTGAGGTGGTTTTCGGGAAGTAATGGAATTAATTTCTCTCCGGAGTCGCTCTTTGAGGATCAACTTGACGGATGAGAAGCGGGACGCCTTCAGACACCGCGCTGCTCATCAGAACCGTGGGTATGGAGAGCCGACAAACTCTTCTTTACGCATTCAAACGGCACTTTAGGAACAAGCAGAACTGTTAAACTTTAACAACAACTACCTCAGAGGACAATTAAGTCACTTTGCCTACAAATAAACCACTTGTGACTTTTCCTTTTGGGTCTTCTTTAAGAAAAAAAATAAAATCATGAAGGCATGAATTGTCCCTGTGACCTTTAGATGCAGCCCCTGAGCTCCACAGACCTAACCCTGCTGCTTTACAACAGTCTGACTTCTCCCCTACAGGCTTCAGTTAAACTTTATTGGTTTAAAGCAAAGTTGTAAGCAAGACACAGCTCTGGATTTACAGTAAAATCACACATGCATGTGTGTTTGGCTTGCACGACTTCTACACATGAACAGTCCAGCTGCATGAATCCTCACTTTATCTACAAGCATGCATGTGGCCTACACTCTGACTTTAATTAAACCTGTTGCCTGCCTGCCACGCTTCACTGGGGGTGGTGTAGATTCTAGGAAAAGTAAGGTGAGTTTACCTTTACTGGGGCCTCGTCCAAAACCAGCTCTGACTTCCTCCACCCTTTTCCCACACCCTGATTGATCGCCTAATAAATGAAGAGTTTATTATCTAATGCCACTAGCCCGAGCTCATTAATTAGTAGTAATTAATGAGTCCCTGAAACAAAGATCCAGACTTTTAAACTGCTGAAAACCAGCGTTCGGTCTGTTTGATGTAACTCTATTGCCTCATAACTCCACAAACCAGCAGATAATGATTAAATGCAGCCTAACTTGTTTTCCTTTGGTAAGTGTTCAAGGTACAAGGTGCACCCATACACACTATACACCCCTACATGTACACAGATTGATAGAAATGTGCGTAATTAGTGTAAATATTCTGGCAAATAAATATAAAAACCGCTAAAAGATGAAATAATCAGATGTGACTCCATATTTTTTGAAAATTCAGTGAATTAAATACTTCATATTCTGCTATTTTTTTTAAACGATCTGCAGCAAAGCATAGTGTTTTTGAACATAGATGTGTTTTCTAAAGGTAGAATCTTAATAATACTACAGGAGTACAATTTACTGTATGTACAGTACTTCCTTTGCTGCTGATTACACTGCCCACAGTGTAACATAATACCATCATAACTATTACAAAGAAGGATTCCAGTGTTTACCACAGTTAAAAAACAAAAGAACACTTAATTTCTAATCTGTTTTTGTATACACTGAGACATATCGACCCATAATTATCTGGCCTCCATACTGAGTTTTTTTATTTTTTATCCCTTTATCTGCTGGTTTAATGAAAACATTCTGTAAATGTAGTGTACATCCACTCTATAGCTACGCCTGCAGTGAGAGTCTCGAGCCGAATGGGTTTGGGCGGCTGGCGTTTAATTTGTCTTCACATAAGATTTACATTAAATAAGAGGCAGCTATTAAAAGCATTTGTAACAAGATGATAAATGGTGCAGTGGCGGTTTTGTTATGAGCAGATGATCAAACGTGTCATATGCCTCAGTGGTTTGTGAATATTCAAGAACGTCAGCTCGTGTGTTTCCTTTTTTTTTTTTTTTTAACTTTACACAGCAGATGCAATAAGCTGAGATAATTGGTGTACAACTAATTTACCATATAAATGACAAAACATCAGATTACTTATTTTCTTGATGAATTGTTGTAGTTTTTTTTGTGTGTTTATGTTAAATCACACTGTATATGTGGAGAACGACACACTCGATCCAATAGAAGTGTAGCGCTTCAGAAGCAGCGCTGTAAATTTATGTCAATAATCTTATTAAATAAGCCAAATCATTTTTGGTGTTTGTCATAATTTGTTCAGGACAAAATAGACTTCAGGATAAATATGCTGTGCTATAACTGTAGATGAGCTCCGGCTATATTTGCACTGTGCTGAACGACCACCGTGTTTGCGAGGACTCACTAATTTCCTTCTGTACTGTCCAATGTCCCACCAGTTCTACATGACTTGTAACATCCAGGGGCTTAGTCACTGACCCTGTGACGTGTGAATGACCTGGCAGTTTATGTTCCGCGATCTCAACCCAAAGGGGGTTTAGAGTCACTCCTGTGTAAAGAGACCTTTGTGGTTGTGGCATGCAGCAGGGTGGTGCAAGGCAGAGCCGACTTTTCCTCCCAGTGAAAACGTGTCTCACTACACAGGCTGTTCACCTTTTCATTACACGCCGTTCCACGTCAACAGTGCTCCACTGGAGCTGTAAACTTCCCCGTTCCCACTTGGAGAATTTCGCAGCCAGTGTCCAACCATTCCCAGTGTTTAGACTGCAGTCATTTGGACCGACTTCTGTGCTCGGGACTGGCCCAGGGCAGAGGTCGCAACAGGATGTGAGACCTGGAACTCCAGATGTGTTACACAGAAACTCAAAAGTCATTCAGGCTCACGAGAAGTCAGAAAATTATGGTCATGTACTGGGTTTCCCACACTGCTGCCGCTTGTTTCGTGTCATTTACTCGAGAACCTGATGAAGTTAGGTGAAAAGGTTGGTCTGTTAATAGCATGTGAATTTGCTGGTGGTGTCTCATTTAGTCGCGCTGTGTTATTGACCCACTTAGACAAGGTAGGCAGGATTATGCTAAAATCTGAAGATTAGTCAAGGATCTAAGTCGAGCTGCCATTATCTTAAAAGAGACTAATATTAATCTTTCAGGAATGTGCGAGACACTCACAAATAGGCACCATTAAATCCACCCTTATCTTCATTTGACTACCCACCGCCTGCCCTCTGCAGACTTATAAAAGTAGTGAATGGCCTCCAGGCTCACTGCACTGCAATTTATGGCTCTGTGACAAGCAGGTTTTCCCCTTCAATTTCAGCATTGGGCACTTATACTTATTAGTGTTGGGACACGTGTCGGTCTCAGTGAGTGTTGTAGAAGCACAAAATGTCCCAGCAGACCCCCGTCGCTGAGGGCTTCTGTTCAAGACGCCCCCCCCAGTGTTGACATGGAGGGAGTTTGGACATCAGGCTGCTCTTTTACCTACATCAGTGGGAGGTGGAGGATAGCACTCCGAGCCAGACAAGTGTTTTGGCAGGCAGCCTTGCAATTGTGGAATTACACTTTAATTGGCAAAATTGGGCTTGATTGCAGTCTGTCGCTCTCGGTGCACCCGTAGCTGCTTTCTGCTCATTTTATTTAAGTAACTTCCACCAAGACTTACTTCTAAATACAGTTTCTCTGTCTGCACCAAGCCTCAGTCTTGCACGGTGGGTGGGCATGTTCCTGAAATGCACTGGTGCACTTAGAGATAACAAGGACTTCCTCGTGGCAAAGACTGGCTTAGATTCCAGTGGAACACACTCAGCTATTTTCTACTCTTATCTTCTTAATATAGGATACTTCTGTCTGGGAGAAAACGCCTCCATCTTATTTTGGGAGTATATAATCGAGCAACGCTTTACGCACCTGACAAATTGAGGAAGAAAAAAAGAGTCTTGAGAAAGAGAAGAGGCTTTGTGTAACCGCTTCTCTGACTCAGCATCAGGGTGCAGAGTTTTGCATATCGTACAATCGAACTTCCCCGTTTTCATGAGCGGTTAAAAGAAAAAAAACAAACCAAGAAGTGCTCCAACGGAAAGAATTGAGACAAAGTAGTTGCGCTGAGCTGTCCTCGAATGTGCAAAATGTGTAACTGACAGGTTGATGTTCATTTCATTTACAGGATGAAACGTTGCCTACAACGGGGAATACAAATAACCGGAAGGCTCTTTAAGACGGCGACTGGAGACTTGTGAGATTGGCAGAACCTATTAAGAAGCAGTCTGTAAAAGCATATCCAGGCCCGGCTACATCCAAGAATGAGGATCAAATACACGCTATCCGTCGTCTTTTTTGTGGCACTTGTTATCATCGAGAAAGAAAACAACATTATCTCAAGGTAAATGCATTTCAGTCATCAGTGCAGCACTTTTGTTTCATCTCCTCTCAGCTTGACGCTGATGTTTTACACACATTTCTGCAGATGTAGAGCGTGACGACAAAGCCATGACTTAACGGTGACTCTTAAAGATAAGATAAAGATGTTTTTGTTTATTTTCAGGGTGTCGGATAAGCTAACCTTAAAGCAGACCCCCCAGACCCCGCTACAGCCCAGTGGTGTCTCCCAAATACTGCAGAAGCACAATGGTTCCTTCCCCTCGCTCGGCAAGATGGACTTCATGCTTATGAAGCGGCGCCTGGAGAAATACAGCGAGCACCAGGAGGTGACGACGAAGGGCAGGAAGCACATCCTCCTGTTAGCCACCACCAGGACGGGCTCCTCGTTTGTGGGCGAGTTTTTCAACCAGCAGGGCGACAACATGTTCTACCTGTTCGAGCCGCTGTGGCACGTAGAAAAGATGCTGACGCTGGAGACGGGAGGCACTAATGCCACAGCGGCAGCCAAGGCGTACCGTGATGTTCTCCAGCAGCTCTTCCTGTGCGACTTCACCTTCCTGGAAAGCTTCCTCGACCCCCTCCCTGTGGACCACATCACCACAGCCCTCTTCCGCAGGGAGTCCAGCAGCTCCCTGTGCGAGGAGTCTGTCTGCAGCCCCGTCATCAAAGGGGTCTTTGAACGATACCACTGCAGGACCAGACGCTGCGGGCCCCTGAACCTGACCATGGCGTCCCAGTCGTGCCTCCAGAAGGAGCACAGGGCCATCAAGTCGGTGAGGGTGCGGCAGCTTGAGACACTCCGTCCTCTGGCTGAGGACCCACGGCTCGACGTCAAATTCATTCAGCTGGTTCGGGATCCTCGGGCTGTGCTGGCCTCACGCATGGTGGCCTTTGCAGCCAAATACAAGAACTGGAAGGACTGGGCCATGGGTGGGGACGTGCCCATTGACGATGACGAGGTGAGGAAGCTGAAAGGGAACTGCGACAACATCAGGATGTCTGCCGAGGTGGGCCTCAGACAGCCGCCGTGGCTTCGCAGGCGCTACATGCTGGTGCGGTACGAGGACATTGCTCGGTTCCCCATGAGGAAGGCAACGGAGATGTACAGGTTCACCGGGATCCCGTTCACGCCGCAAGTGAAATCCTGGATTCTGAAGAACACCCAGGCCTCGAAGGAGACCAGCGGCGTTTACTCGACGCAGAAAAACTCCTCAGAGCAAGTAGAGAAATGGAGGTTCAGTTTACCGTTCAAGATAGCCCAAGTTGTTCAGAGAGTGTGTGGGCCAACGCTGAGGCTGTTTGGGTACAAATTTGTGAGCAGCGAAGAGATGCTGACAGATAAGTCTGTTAGTCTGATTGAAGATAAAGTGTTCAACTTTCTATAGACTTCAACAGACCTAAACCCTGATGCAGGAAACGCCAACCTTTTTAGAAACTCTGCAATGAATTGTATTTATTGGGATCTTTTATCCTGATACAGAGCTATATATTTTGTGCTATTTAAAGTTTTTTTACTATTTAAAATAGTTTGATGAAGAAAATTGATTGTTGAGCAGAATATATATATATATATATGAGACTTTTATCGGTTGAAGCAAAAAGTGTTTGGCATTATAAGGAACCTTGAAATGCGGGAATAGCACGGTAATAACAGGAACATATCTTTGTTTTTTTTGCACTCCTCACTATTTTCTCTGTCCAATGCAAACAGTGACATTGGCTTGTCCCGAGAGTCTGTCCCAAATATAATTCCTGAGCAAATATAGGAAAGTCCGAGGGGAGATTGCTGTGGGTTTGTGAACAATAATGAGCTGTCTCAAACACTTCCAGGAACCTCCATTAGCTATTTTTGTCCTGCAACTCCTGCGTTAGCAACATAAGCTGCTTTTTGTACCAAAATACTCGCAAAAAATGACTTGCTTTGTACAGAAGAGAGGAAATACCAGTGTCTTGCCAGGCAATGTCGTTTCCATGAGATTTACAAGTACTGCATATGCTAATTTATTTGTCTTTACTTTGCTAAAGGTCATCATGACTCCAGGCCTGAATGTGCTCCACAGGTTCTTTCCCGCTCTGCAGGGATATGTTTTTGTTTTTTTGCACACCTATATTGTAGTTTATTGTACATACATGTTTGTAATTGGACCAAAAGTTGTTTGAAGTTGTCTTCAGGACTGTAAGGACCCATCATGTAAAACAGATGTTTACACTGCTACTGTATGCTAACATTCCAACTGCAGCTGGTTTGCAGGATCGTGCGAGGTTTGTCGGCAGGTCTCTGTCTGTTGACACAAGTCTCTTGGCTGGTGATAATAAGAGGCCCTGATACTCTAGCCTGCCAGACTGTTTGCTGATGTTGAGTCTGTTCTTTCTGAATTTTGTTTGTTGCAATAAAACCTTCTTTTACATTAACTGTAGAACATCTAATTTCCTGAGGAGGACACACTTTGGGCCTGAGAACGCTGCCTCCAGAAGTGGCGAAACTCATTGAATGGACTGAAACTGTTTTAGATTCGGGTCACGTGAGCACATTGAGCATTTCACTGTTGTCACTTTTTTTTCAGGAAGCGGGTAAACAATGACAGTGCAACAGGAAACAAATGTGGCAGATGAAGATAAAAGATGAAGAGACGGGGTCAAGACGAGACAGAATTAAGCTTTACTGAGAAACTGTTTGTAGTTACACACTGCATCTGTGAATTTAGTTATGTAATTTAGCAAAAAGGAACAGTGGGTACAAGTAGACTTACTAACTTTGAACGACCAGTCACACATTATTTGCTTAAAAACACCACAAAGTGCAGCCTCATGAACGATCACAGTCGAGTCTCTGAAACAAGAGTCTGATGTCTGGAAGTCTGCACTGTGGCACACTGGTGCTTTGTTCGCTCTGAGCATTTGGCAAGTGTGGAAGTGAAATTTTGATCTGCTGTTGGCTGATGATATATCCTGCAGGGGACATGAATGCATGTGCACCACAAGTGTCAGTTTTATGGTGAGGCTGTGGGCACCGTGGATATCTGTATTATGGATCCCAAACAGCTGCTGAGACATGTCACTGAAAAGAAAAATGTCAAGCTGACGGAGGAGCAGCAGTAAAAGGCAGTGGATCACTAAAGTCAGTAGGACTCCTCCTCCAGTGACTGCACTCCCACCAGTTGTCTTCCTGCTGTCTGGTCCGTTACCAGTAAGACTGTTCATGGCAATTTTCTGGACGTGTTGGTTGAGCTATTTTTACTTTAAAGGGATCTTAACGGAAAAAAAAAAAAAAAAAGAAAATCTGTAAACATTTACAGCTAATGCCGTAGTTTTAGTTGTCAAACACAACCGCTTACTGATTTCCTCTGAGCGGTTAATTAAAGTGACTCTGGCTTTGTTGTCCTATCTAACCAAATGTTTAAGCTTTCTGCACAGCGACTGGTTTGTCTCTAGAGAGGCAAGAAGGCAGGATAGTGCAGAGGCAGCTGCTTTGACTTCCAGTGTGTTTACCACTGCGGGCCCGGCTATTTAAGTCTCCCAACCTAGTAATTACCCCAACTTTACATATAATGTGGTCCAAGACATTTTTGTCCACCTGACCCCACCCGCTTCCAGAAATGCAAAGAGGCAGCCATTTTTTACAGCCTCCCTCTCACTACCTTTATCCTCTTTTACAGAAAATAGTGACTTTTTTTAACAGTTATTCATCTCACCCGCTGCTGAGCTAAACCACCTCTGAAGGTGCATTCGCTCACATCAACAGATCATTGTCTGGTTAGGTTTTATTTTTGTAAAAAAGCGGTGCCAGATCTGCAGTATTTGACTCCAAACCTAATGAGGAGAGGCTTAGTATTCACAAACTCTTATATTGGAGTGGCTTTATGTGGGACGTGTGGAGGGTGGAGTCACTGTACGGTTGGGGCAAATATAGAATAACCACTTTCCACTGAATTAAAGCCTTCTCAGCCCCCCTCCTCAGCAGTAAAATGAGGGCATTTAGGTAACCACACCCTCCCGCTCTGTTATATGGTGTTTTGCCACATCAACCATGAGGGGTTAGAAATATGCAAAGCAGGCTGAGCCGAGGAGCCGAGTGATAGCGTGCTGCAGGATCTGTGATAAACAGACTCAAAATTAAGGTAAATGCAGACATGTCTCAGAGCTGCACATAAAACCTGCGCCGTTGTGCGCGATAATGATAGCTGAGGAGGAGACATAAATCTAAATACGCGGCAAATTATCTCACGCTGAGGAATGCAATTCATAAAACTCAGGTTGTTGCCAGTGATAATGAGCGACAGTGCACGGAGCGGGGAGAGAATTCTTCCCGTCTCAGGGCTCGCGGCACACGATTGATTAGTGATGTGGAGACAAATCGAGCGGTTTTATCTGTCATGTAAAACGGACACATTGAGTATTGACGTTTCACTCATTTTTTTGACAATTTTCCAACTGTACATAAAATCCACACGGGCAGCTTTCCAGTGCATCAGCACAAGTTGCATAAACTTTGCATAGGAAGCAGTTCTCGGCTGATATCACGCTGCTGCACGACAGACTACACGAACTGTCTCTGCATTATTAAAGCCAGACATTTTTACTAATTCTGTACCTAAACAGGATATGGTAACCTGGGGATTTATGAGAGCTGTGCTGTTTTTTTTCCCTTCACATACAACCATGGACAGACTTCAAAGATCTGATGCGGTTTGGGTTCCCGCAGCAGCACCGAGTCATGTCAGAATTAGGATGAACGTTGTTTTTTGCTGCTCAAACACCAACGACCATAACTAATCTGTATTTTTATCCTCATCTATGCGTCCACTCATCTTGCAGGGAGAGGTCAGCGACTGTTTCGTCACAGAAGACTTTAGAAATCACAATTAGGGAAGATGTTGATGCATTAATGTCATGACTCATTTAACTACTGGGTCACATTTTGAAATTCCTTAGTTGCATGACACAAGATGAAACTTCTGAAGTTTTTGTTTTTTTCTCTTGAGGGCTCCGTTGTGGCTGACCACGGTGTAAAAGCATTCGACAGAACGGAAATGGATGCCCATTTTCTCTGGATTTAGACGCTGCGAAAACATGTGAAAAGCGACTCCGAGATGTGGGCAGAAGCTCGAGTCCTGTCTGACCATGACAGCCACCAAAATGCATAAAAAAAAAACAAAATGACAATAATTGTGATGAATGTGGTCGCTTTAAAAACGCAGTGCCCGATTTTCTAAACAATAAAGTCGTGATGGTCTCTCTCTGAGGTGTTTGCCAAAAATCTACTTTTAAAAATAATCTGGAAATTCCCATTTTGTGGGGAAAAGAAAATGCGAATTCATAAAAACTCAATTTGTAGCTGTGTTGTGACGACTTTGTGTTTGACTTTGGTTGAGGGTTTACGGATGAGTGACCGCTAGTCTCCAAAACATGCAATTAAGAGTATCGAGGCCTTTTAGACAGACACTCCTCCCCATTAATCTGATGGCATGTAAATGTGTTGGCGTCATGTCTGAATGAGCACCCGGGTAACGTTTCTATAAAAATTGCGACGGCAATTTTACTAGGTTAGACCTAGGAACATTTCTGGATCACTTTCAACACATGCCGTAGCATCAGAGGACCGGCGTGCAAAAGCAAAGCGCTTCCAGCTGTTTATAAACGTCTTTCCTTTGAGTTTATTACGTACCTGCAGCATCAAACAGCAGCGGGAGCCATTTACAGCAGCAACTTAATTAATTACTTTAAATGATGAATGATCCCTGACATGGAGACGGGATGAATCTACGTTTCTGCACATCAGACAGGTGAGCTGAGTCACACTTTATAATCAGAAGGCTGTTACTTGAACATATTAATAAAGCAGCAACGTTCCCACAGCTTCACGCGACAAACACCAGAGGCTTTCTGACCAAATAAAGTCAAATCTCTAACTTCTCCATTTTGGTTTTCTTTTCTTTGCATCTGTTTTCGCTGGAACACCCGTTATCATCGTGATTATGACCTCAGTATTTATGCAAAGTTCTGCCAACCCGTATGCCCGGTGCCACAAGAAAACATATGAAGCATTACACCCTCTCTAAATTTAGATGTTAATTCTAGTTTAAAACAACTTCATGGTTTCGTCAAGCTAGCGTGGCATTTAGCTTCAGTCCAGCTCCCCCCCTGCAGCACAAACAATGGCTTTGTGGGTGAGGGGAGAGATGGAGTAAATAGTTGGGGTTAAGTCAGCAGGTGGTGCAAAGAAAACAAGAGGACAAAGCGCTGCTCTGATTCTCAGAGAATAGGTGTCATTCCCATATTTACTCACTGTGTCCTTACGCTCGTCGTGCATTTACAACCCAAATACCTGCCTACAAGCCAACAGAATCCCATCTACTATACTCTAGATCTTTCCTTGTTTCTTTCGGCGTCTGAGACCCTGAACATCACACTCCTGTTAGACTCTGCAGGGACATAGCACTGTACAGAGCTGCTACTGTACGGAACATATATCAAACAGCATTGCTTCTTAAAAGTCTGTATTGTCTGTTGCTAAAAATACTGCATAGCTAAAATAAAATGGGTCCACTGTAGGTGCCACCATTTGCATTTTGAATTAGGGTTTGTGAAAGAGCTGCTCTCTCCGCCACAAGGCTTCAGTCTTCCCTTACATCAATACCTCCTTTTGTGTCAGCACCGAGCCAGAGTGAAGAGGCCTTTAAAAAAAAAAATTTAGAGCCGCTGAATGGGTCACTCCATTTGTCCCACTCTGCTGGCTTCGCTCCAGAAACAGTAAGTGCCCTTCGACTGCCACTACTAGTCACAATACAACAGGCAGCGCGGTTAAAGGGCTTAAAAGAAGCAGAAGGCACAAGGGTTTGCTAATGAGAAACATTATGCATCAACACAGAATCTCCTCATTTCCCATAAGATGTGGTGCCGATGCGTTCACCAATTACAGATTAATCTCCAGCCTCAGCGGTCTAATGACAGGCCTGTTTCCCTTTTTGACGTAACATATGCCATGTGAGCGCCGACCATGTGATGCTGCCGTGCACGGCTGCCGCAGATGAAAGGATCCAATGGAGATGCTGAAAAATGTTTGCACTGCAGACCACAACGACCGCTGGGAGCAGACAGTCAGCGTCCATTTTTACATGTAGGAAATGCATGTGGACAAACGGAACCACAGTCATTAAATAAGTCTAACATGTGGGCTTTTATTCCCACCTTTCTTCTCACTTTGAGGTCAGTCTTTTGTTCTCAGAGAAGAAGCTGCAGAAAGTCATTCATCCCAGGAATGGAGGGAGTTTATTTAGATTTGAAGCTGGACTATAATTACAGACCCATTGTGGGATTCTGAATTTATCTTAGCTTCCATTAAACAGATTTTCTCATATTTATAATGCTGTGATACTTGAATATGGGTCAGCGACCAAAATAGAGTTGTCTGCT